TGGGACTTGAGAAGACTTGATGCTTAGACTAGTTGACAATTTAACTTATTAAGCACTCTTAAATTTTAACTCTTTAATTTGCACTCTTGTCAAGACATTAAAAAAGGAAAAATTAGCATTTCTACACCTTAGATAAATACTCATATATGTATATATATATGTGTATGTGTGTATGTGTGTATATGTGTATATGTGTGTATATATATATATATATATATATATATATATATATATATATATATATATATGACTTTTTTTTTTATAACAATTTAGTTTAAAATTCATATAAATTGCAAAAATCTAAGCTATATTTGATATTTTGGTTTAAAGACTTGAAATGACATGAAGCTCAAAGCAGACGACTTAGACTTGACTTGGACTTATGGGCCAGTGACTCGAGACTCAAATTGGACTTGCCTCTATTTGACTTGGGACTTGACTTGGACTTGAGGTCAAAGAGTTGAGACTTACTTGAGACTTGCAAAACCTCTCCCACCTCTGGATTACACTGATATAAGGCCCAATGGTAATATAAAAAAGTATATTATTTAATGTTGAAAATTGTGTTCTGTTGTCTAAATAGAGAGAGATTTAAATGATCTTTGTGTTGTTGAAATCTGTGAATTTCATTAATAAGGAATAGACTCAATACTTGATACAAACTCTTGAGAATCCATTTTGTCAGTTGACTAGATGGAAGTTCTTTGCCAATAGAAGTACTTCAACCAATTTTAGTAGAAGTACAGACTTTTTATTTGTGGAAAACAAGCAGAGCAAAGCATTCTCTGCAATTGTGGAGGGGAAGATGTATGTGCTTTTCTCCCAATTGGCTTTAACTAAAGTTAGACTTTTTTTTTTCTTTTTTACTTGTTCCGTTGTTGTGACTCTTCCACCGATAAGCGTGAAGTATATGTTTGAATGGTTTGATCACTGAGCCATCCCAGATTGACCAGATTCATCATAGTGCTTTAATTTTAAAACAATTATACATTTTGAAAAGAAAAAAATCCTCAAAATATTGCAGATAACAGAAAGCTGAAAAACACAAATACTTGCCATGAAATCGGTTGTCACTAAAGTCTTGTAAATATGGAAAAAAAGAAAGCTTTACTAGATGCCATTGTGTTTGTGCTCCATAAAGTCAGATTTTATTTGCTTCCTTCTCTTTAACAGCTCATTTATCCCTCATTCAATTATACTTATTTTAAAACAGAAATGCCAAAAAAGACCACATGTTTTCTCTGTAACTTTACCCAATGCAGAACTACTGCTGCTGCTTTCACCATCACCACGACAACCAAGATTTATTTATTTTTACTCACTCCACATGTCATTCATCTTGTTTAATGAGGAATGTAAAATATCAAAGAATAAAATGTTAAAACGCAGCCCAGATTCCCGATAAGTCTTAAATGCATTACTCCATCGGGCCAAACCATTATGTTTACTGAGTATTTCTCGTGGCAACTGTCTGTGGACATCCTTTTCATGCCCAAAGTAGGCAATAGCTCTGAACTCTTTATGGCTCTCAATACTGTGGCTACTGCACACAGTTAGTTTGAAATACTGAAACTATTCTAATACATCTAAGAGTGAGTAAATTGTCAAACAGGAATACATTGCTATTTTTGGGATTATCCGGATAACAATAATCAGATATTTTTGTACTGATACCACCAGAAATGCAGTAACATTTTCCTGTAAATGTCCTAGTTGAAAATTTAGTATTGACATTGTAATAAACTGGAAAATAAAAATGCAAAAATTTCACTATGCCATGTTTTGGTAGTGTTTCTCTTAATACTCTCCATTTCCCATTTTTATCAGATTTTTCTGCAGCTTTTCCAATTATAGATAATAATAATAATGTGCTGTTTTCCACAAGTTTTATACTGAGACTATGGTGGCACAAGCAATCCATGTTGGAGTCAATTTATTCAATACAATGTGTGGAGAATAAATGTTACTTTTTGGCTGTGCTGATTAAAAAAATACTAAATACAGACAAAATAGTTTCTTCTGTATGTTTAAGACAATACTAAAGGCATAAAGTATAATTAGTTTTATAGTTTTATTTATTATTTATTTGGAAAAACTGATGTGTGTGTGGTGAAACTGCCTAGTATTTTTCTAGTGCTCTTTCAGGATCCACCAGGCACCAAACCTGTTTACAGCTTATTTCTTGGGGAATAGTACTAGTAGAACAACAACTAACAACTTTTTTCTGGTACTGGTTCTCTTTAACGGTACTCAGCCCTATTGCAGTTAAATTGTCCACTTCCATGACCAAGTAAAGCTGTTTACTACATTTAGTTAATGTAAAAATTATACTCTATTCCCCAATTAATGTTTTGATTAACTGGACTGTAGAAAATAGAAACACACTTCATACTAACAAACCATTCTATACCAAACTGAGATGAGAAACTGAGTGTGATTGATTGTAAAAATGCACAATGGAATATTTGACCTTTTTAGCGTCACAAAGACTGAGTGTTGAATGACACTGGATCTCTTGGGTTGTTGCACAGAGCATTGTTCAGGACTTGATTAAACCTAAAACCGGACGCACCTGAGTCCTGTCCTGGGTCTGGCTGAGTCCATCATGCTGCGGTGCACCCAGGGACAACTGAATAAGCAGAGGGCCTTGTAAGTTTACTCAAACCAGTCTAATTACAACACTTGGGTTTTATGGTTTGAAACTCTTTCTCACAAATCAACTGAGTCACGTAAATGTTGATGTGGTTGTAGTGACCTCTTTTTGTTTAGCGATACGAGTGGCACTGTCTTGGAACCGATGGGCTGCTGTAAAATAAAAACACTTTTTCTTTCATTCAAAAACATTAGCGAGGACTGCTGGACAGTATAGCAAAAAAAAAATTAAAATTTTTCTGTGTTGTTCAGTCTTACTTCTTGATTTAATTATTTGTCATTATTAAAACAAATACATTTGATTTTCATTAGTAATTTCATCGAGATAAACCAGACAGACTGAATGAGTGCTGTTTAAAATAAAAGAAAACGTCAGTTACAGCTCTGCAATATCTGACCTCCAACCAAGTTTTTACTCCCACAGACTTGATTAACTGCCAAACTAATACAAGACTCTCAATCATGTGTAGAAGCACCTATTTGTAGAGATTTAAAGTTAAGAGTTTGCCTGTTTTATGTATAACACAGGATATAGCTGTTTCAAAGGAAATAGTTTCTGATTATCTTATTGCGGTGTGCAGTTTGCTAATTAGGAGCATTCAAACTGGATATTCTAGTTGTGCTTAACATTGAAGTACTAGTTGTCCTAGTTGTCATTTCAATATTGTAAATGTTGTCAAAATCTTTTTAATAAACTTTTTGGAGTCCTTACGTTGGCATGAAAGGGGCGGTGAAGAGTAGCGGCTAAGTATGTTTCTTGGCTGCAGATTGGCTGAGCAGAGTTGGAGAATGCTGCCTCAGAGGAAATGACTTGCACACAGGGACTAGCTCCATGACACAGTGAAATTATCAGGAGCCCGGGGGTGGGGCGGATGGCTTCCTGTATTGCCGTGCATTCTGGGATATCCTCGTGCACGCGCCTGGCAGCCCCTCCACCCCCCAGAGTGTGTATTTTTTCCCTTAAATAGCAGTTTTGTGTGAGGTTAGTCCTTTAATGGGATGATGAAACAGAGTGTGCTGGTTCTTCCAATCTGACGGCAGCCAAGTGGAGGACGACACGGAGACTGGACAAGATAACGCAGGGAAAGGCCAAAAGATACGTGAGAACAGAGTAGGCCCAGTGAGGGAAACAAAACACAGACAGCCTCTTCACAACGGACAACTTTTATTTAGAAAGATGAGTGCAGCTCCACATCCCTTATTCAGGAATGTCTCTGACAAATAAGGATAGATGGCTTCCTTCGTTTTTAAATATTGCTTGATACTTGAAATTTGTGATATTTCTTATTACATGACATCATAATTTGGTACTGTATGTTTCAAGAAGTAGTCTTAAACTCTTGTTGGATGTGTATGCAGTTTATTTATGACTATTGGTATGCTAATCATTTCTGTGGTTCTGTGTTTTTCTGTGCCATGTTGCTGGCTTTGTGGCTAGAACTGCATCAATACAAGAAAGTTGCTGGTTCAACTCTTGGACCTTTCTGTGCAGTTTATGCATGTTTTTCCCTGTGTCTGGTTGGGTTTCCTCCAAGTTTTCCCCGTCAACCCCTGCTATAATATAGACATAAGTCTATTAAACAACACTTTGTTATAACCAATTTGCAAAGTTGTTGCTGCTGATTCATATAAACTACAGAACACCATCTGCAGCCCCTGATGGAGAAAAATGAGTCACTGTTGTTTACTTTAGAGAGACAGACTTCTACAGAAATCTATATTTGTTTAGATCTATCAACATTCAGCGGTTGGAATGGCAAACAGTATGAAAATATTGAGGAAATTCACTAAATGCATTTTTCAGCGATGCTTGTCCTTTTGTTCTCTCCACAGTGGTGGATGTCACGATGACACATTTCCTCTGCGTCGGCTTTATCAGATGTGAAGAGCAAACAGTTGTTATACGGCTGTGATTAATGCATAACTCAATTATTAGAATAAATAAAGCTATGCAAATGCCAAGTGAAGTCAACTCAACCCATGCATCACAGCCCCCTAAAGTGTGTAATGAATGCTGATCAAAACAAATGGGAGACAAACTGTTCTTTTGGCTGCTGAGATCACTTGTCATATTTTATTGCCACAGAAGTACACTCCGTTGTGTCAAAGTTGTTTTCTTTATCATTTGATTTGTCCATTACATAATCGGAGGATCTGACACCAGACTTCATGACTTTGTTACATTACCAGGGTTTCTACACAGCTCTCTGCCAAACTAAACAAGCCTTGAAATTAGTTATAGATCTGACATTTTGCAGGATGAGTCTATTTTTAGGTCCCTAATATTAATGTTATTGACTTAAGTTTTGTGATAAATGTAGTAAAAAAATGTTTCTCTTTCTTTGCAGGATTCCATGAATGCTTTAGTCTTAGACTTGGACTACCCCGCACTACGCAAAAACAAAAACATCGACACATTCCTAAACAGATGTGAGTTTTCTCTATTATACAACTAAGGGACATGCATTTATTTAAAACTACAACTGTTACTTTAATGCGCTTTCCAATCTCCATCATATCTATGCAATTCTGCTTTTATCTCGCTACAGATGAAAGGGTCATAGGTCAAATTCGAGACCTGCAGATGAAGTCTGAAGATTTTGAAAGGGTCAAAGTTATTGGTCGGGGAGCGTTTGGGGAAGTCCAACTGGTGAGTAGTCCATGATTTTTTTCATTGACATTAAGTATACATTTGATGAACTCTGTATTCATGGATATGCAGCTACTCAAAAACAAGTACTGATTGAAAGCGACTATTAAGCTTCATGCATGAGCACACTACAAGCTTTCTCACATAAATATACATTACAAAAGTTATACATGACAATTATCTGAACTTTGTACTAGAGGTCATTAACACTGTGGTCTGTTTCGAATAAAGATTGTTTGAATATTAATTTGCTATCTGAATTACATTTGACATTCATTGACTGTTTGAATTACATTTACAGGTTAGACACAAAGCATCTCAGAAAGTCTACGCTATGAAGCTGCTCAGCAAATTTGAAATGATCAAACGTTCAGATTCTGCCTTTTTCTGGGAGGAGAGGGACATCATGGCATTTGCAAACAGCCCCTGGGTCGTACAGGTATACAGCGCTTTTATTTTAAATCAGTTTTATTTTTGTTTAAACTCAAACATCATGCACCTGTGTACCCTCTGGAAATCAAATTAAGAACGGAATGATAAAAATGCATAGTGTATAGTTTTTATAAAAGATGCTAAGATAAGTCTAGCTCTGGTCACTGGGGTCTATTTTTCCATACTGCAGCATTTTATAGTGAAGTAGCCTCAACTATTTCATTGTAGCCTCTCCTCTGCTGTTGTAGATTTTATCTCAGTAAAGACGATGACCTTGATCATTTGTACATGTTTCTGACTCAAACCCCCTCCCTTTCATATTATGCAACTGATACTATTTTGAACATTTTTGTGGTATTTTTACTCTGCTCTTTTCTAGTTGTGCTGTGCCTTCCAAGACGAGCACTATCTGTTCATGGTGATGGAGTACATGCCTGGAGGAGACCTGGTAAACCTCACCAGCACATACGACGTACCGGAGAAATGGGCGCGGTTCTACACAGCTGAGGTGGTCATGGCTCTAGACGCCATTCACTCCATGGGCTTCATCCACCGCGATGTCAAACCAGACAACATGCTGCTGGATTGCCACGGACACCTCAAACTGGCAGACTTTGGCACGTGCATGAAAATGGACTCCGTGAGTGATAAATAGATTACTGTAGATTGGGGATGGATGATTTTGTGAAAATATCTGACTAGAATTGCGATCAGATTTGTGGATTGTGTTTTAATAATAGCATTCTGTTCATTCACATTTTAAACACCTCCAGGAGAATTAACAAAAAGGCTGAAATAGGCCTATGAATTAATACAAGAATCACATGTATTTCAGAACGTGTGTGTACAGATCTAAATGACATGTTTAGCACTTTTTATGATGAAAAAATACAGGACATTTTATTGTTTACGGAGGAAATTATAATATGATAAAATATGCAAATGCAAAAAGTCCTACTGTAGATCTAAGCAAGTTTATTATTCACATCCTGGTTCCTTATAGCTAAGTACAGTCAAAAATAAAAATACCTACCTGAGCTCTACCAAACTAATAAGATAAGAAACATCGCTATTTGTCCAGCAGTTGGAAAATTCCAATAGTTATGTTTATAGGCAATAAAAAAAAAAATCTTAAAATCTGATAACTCCACAAATCTGATTTGTCAGAAATAATTTGCCAGTAATTTAATCAGTTACATCTGATTAAGTAATCTAATATCTATTGTTATGGGTCATGTTAATGTACCCAGTGTTGCAACCAAACAGTGCAAAAGAGCAGCATTAGAATCATAATACAGATGCAGATTGTGAAACTGAACCTTTAAATTGATATTGATGAAACCAACACAAGGCAAGCTGTTTTTGAATTATAGTTGGTATTTGGTAATTACTTTTTTTTTTTCCAGACTGGCATGGTGCATTGTGACACAGCTGTTGGAACTCCAGATTACATTTCTCCAGAGGTTTTAAAATCTCAGGGAGGAGACGGTTACTATGGAAGAGAGTGTGACTGGTGGTCTGTCGGGGTCTTCATTTATGAAATGCTTGTTGGTTAGTAAGAATTGTGTTTTGTAGATGTATATTTCTGTCTACTCAATTCCTTCATTTCAATAACGTTTTGGATTTCAGGTGACACACCGTTTTATGCTGACTCTCTGGTTGGAACCTACAGTAAGATTATGGACCATAAGAATTCCCTCAACTTCCCAGATGATGTGGAAATCTCCAATAATGCCAAAAATATCATCTGTGCCTTTCTGACTGACAGGTACTGTGTAAGCATGGGAAAAGCTATTGTAGATGATAGACTTGTTCTTTTTTCCTCTGGATATAAATTTTTTTTCTTCTGTATAGCTGTGTAATTTCCTTATTTTGTTTTGTATCAGGGATGTCCGGTTGGGTAGAAATGGTGTAGAAGAAATCAAACGGCATCCTTTTTTCAGGAATGATATTTGGACATTTGACACCATACGAGAAGGTTAGCATCACTTTAAATATCAGTTATAATGCACTTATAACCCAGATTCATGTACAGGCTAAAGTAGTTTTCACATCTTCTGGTTCATAAATTGTTGATGTTTTGTTCTTTTGTCTCTAAACAGCGGTTGCTCCTGTGGTCCCGGAGCTGAGCAGTGACATTGACACCAGTAACTTTGATGAGATCGAAGAGGACAAAGGCGATGTTGAAACATTCCCCACCCCTAAAGCTTTTGTTGGAAACCAGTTGCCTTTCGTCGGCTTCACGTACTTCAAAGAGGATCAGTATGTCTTCACTATCGGCGTCTCTTCATATTTAGGATTTTCCCACATACAATAAAGCAAAGAACTATTCAAAGCATGTTTTGCCAGCTGTTATCTTGTCTTAGTGTGTCTTTTTTGTCTTTTTGTTACAGGTTATTAAATGCTTCCAATAATTCCTCTGTAACGCATGAGAATTCAAAAGGAGAGGTGAATATTTTTTTTTTTTTTTTATTTTATTTTAGAGTTGGGTCCAGAAATGTTGCACATGTTCCAAGCCTATTTAGAGAGAATAGACTATAAGATTATCACAAAAATGACACAAAGGAGGATTTATTCTTGATCCCATGATTTATAACTACTTGGGGAGAATTTAAAGGCACAAAGCCCACACTAAGCAGCTTTCAGAGCTAAGCGACTTGACTTAAAGATAATCTGGAGGAAAATTCTTCTGACTTCAATACAACTGAATATAAGACTTCCTCTCAAATAGGCCTTGGTCAGTTGTTTTAAATGCCTGCTTTTTGTCTTCTAAATTTCTCATAAAACATGAATAATGTTGCTTTTCCTTTGTAGTCAGCAGCATTGCAAAAGAAACTCCATCAGATTGAGGTCCAGCTCAACAATGAGAAGCAAGTAAAAGATGACTTTGAACATAAATACAGGTAACAGAAACGAATATTGTATAAAAAATAAAATAATTAAGCTTTAAACATACTGAGGAACTAAAAGATAATAATTTTTTTTTATACAGAGCTGCCAGTAGTCGCTTGGACAAAATCTCCAAAGAACTTGAAGAAGAGGTTGGTTGAACTTTTTTACCTTCTCTGGCTTTACAAACCCTGTTGACATTAATCAACTAAAAGCTGCATTTTTATGTCCTTCGTTCAAAAAGCGTGTTTAAGGATGCAAAATGTATAAAAGATTTTTTGCCTTGCATGTGTAGTAAATCTGCAATGTACAAAATAAATAAATAAATAAATAAATTGTGATTTCAGGTCACCACAAGGAAAAACCTGGAGTCGAATCTGAGGCAGTTGGAGAGGGAGAAGGCCCTGCTGCAGCACAAGACCCTGGAGAGCCACCGTAAGGCAGAGAATGAGGCTGACCGCAAACGCTGCCTGGAGAATGAAGGTGACACAATGCTCTATAATCATCCATTATTAGATTCTGTTTTTTTTTACAAGAATTGATTGTGACAAAGATAAAAACTGGATAACATTTTAAGTTTAATGGCTTCCATTCAGAATTTTAAGGCAGCCACTACTTAGAGGTTTCTGGGTTTATGCAGATTAATGTTTTAAAACTTATAGTATTATGGAACATGCCTTGGTGACTAACGGATGACATTGACATAAATTAACATGAAATATACAGTTTTAAAATTTCTCTTATGTATATTTTTACAGTCAACAGTCTTCGGGACCAGTTGGAGGATATGAAGAAGCGCAACCAAAATTCACACATTTCCAATGAAAAGAACCTACACCTACAAAAACAGGTCAGCCTCAATCATTGAGTTAACGCTAATGTACAAAGTGTTGTGTAAATAAACACTTGAGATGTGTTATTTATTTCATAACTTTCTGTGTCTCTCTAGCTTGAAGAGGCGAATGCTTTACTGCGCGCAGAGTCAGAGGCAGCAACGCGGCTGCGTAAAACTCAGGCGGATAACAGCAAACAGCTGCAGCAGCTGGAGGCCAACGTGCGTGAGCTGCAGGACAAGTGCTGCATCCTGGAGCGCAGCAAACACAGCCTGGAGAAAGAGTGCATCAGTCTGCAGGCCGCTCTGGAGGGAGAGAGGAGGGAGCATAGCCAGGGCTCCGAGACCATCACCGACCTCATGGGTCAGTCACACAGAGAGTCAAGGAGGGCAAGCCTGGTGCAGACCCACCAGCTGCCAACTTCACCAGCCATACAATTAGTTTTTATTTAATTTAAGAAGGGACATGACTGCAATTATGTTGATCAAAATGTAATCAACCATATGTAAGTTATTTCCTATACATTATCATTCATTGTTACAGTTAAGTGCAATTTACAAGAAATTTAAATATTATTTGGTTAAAGCTGGAGAATCATAAACCTCTATAGCGTATTGTAGTTGCAGTAGTAGACTACATGGTACATACATTATAGTTTCCTGCATGGCCCTAATTAATTTCAGTGGTTCCGTAATTCATTCATAATTTGATTGCATCTTTTCTCCTGTCCTACGTGAAGCATCGCTGCAGCTCAGAGTGGTGATTGATATTTTTAGCTGTGCGTAGTTTTGTGGCCTACAAACAGTGCAATGACCCCTTTTAGTAGTCAGTGTTGACTACTACTTAACTAACTGGAATAGGAACAATTGTTTTGATTGTGCTTTATTTGTTTACAGCACGCATTTCCAGCTTGGAAGAGGAGGCTCGCCAGCAGAGACAAGCCATGTCTAAACTTGAGACTGAGAAGAGACAGCTTCAAGAGAAATTTAACGAACTTGAGAAGGTATACACACAGTTAATAATAATAATAATAATAATAATAATAATAATAATAATAATAATATTTAAATTTGTTGTATTCTTCACCTCATTCCATTAAAATTTTATACTGTTTTTATATTTGTGCAGGAAAAAAGCAATAAGGAGATAGACCTAACATACAAGCTGAAGGTTCTGCAGCAGGAGCTTGAACAGGAGGGGGCAGCACACAAAGCCACCAGGGCCATGCTGGCAGACAAAAGCAAGATCAAAGTTACTATTGAGGGAGCAAAGTCAGAGTCAACGAAGGGTATAAACTCATAATTTCTTTCATTATAAAATAGACAAAAGTATTTGTCAAGCTGTGGTACCTGGACCACTGTGCGCTTCAAGTGTTTATTTAATTTAGGGATTAATCTGTTCATGTGTTTGATCATTATTTAGATCTACCATGTCCATGGTTTAGTCTCATGTTTAGTCTTGTTTTAGTCTCATTTTAGTCTCATTTTAATCTCATTAGATTTGTAATGTGTCTATAATGAGTTGTAAATGTGATTTATTCAACCTTCTTCAGTTTAAATCTAATCATAGTACAGAAATGTTCCCCACTAATCCAAAAGCAAAGTACTCATGATAAACACTGACCTCCAAATTATTGTCCCATCTATCATTTATAGAAGTCCATATAGTAATTATCGTGCCAGGGCTACTTGTGGTGAAAAGATTGAGAACCATTTGTCTAAAGAAGTATGTGTTGATCGGATGTGTTATTTTATTCAGAATTAGAGCAGAAGTTAGCGGAGGAGCGTTCGGCTAAAATGCGTCTGGAAAACCGTATCCTGGAGCTGGAGAAACACAGCAGTATGATGGACTGTGACTACAAACAAGCTTTGCAGAAACTAGATGAGCTGCGTAGACACAAGGACAATCTCACAGAGGAGGTGGGTGTATTATGTAAACAGTGTGAAGATGCCAGATATATCTTCAGTTTATTACTTTATTTCTACAGTCCGACACCATGACAACAGTTGCCTCTAAGTGCTGCAGTAAGAGACAGCAAACAAGTGCGCAAGCAGACCCTATTCCACAGAGAGGTTTAATAAAATCACTGTAGGAAATGCACAAAGGCAAGAGCAGACTGTCGAAGAATATAAATCTGTAAATGAATAAAATATAAAACAGTAGAATCTAGTAGAGGTAGGAAATATATTGAAAGATTGATAATATAATTGTTTCATATGTAGATTATAACTACATTAGAATATAGAGTGTATAATAAAATAAAAAAGAACGCAAAAAAGAGCAGATTAAAATGAAAAATGACCATGGATCTTTCAGTCAAATGTATAAAGTGATTTCTGCTCTTTACTGGTTTATTTTCCAGTCCATTCATGTTTGGTGTTATACTTGAATCTCAACCAAGACATTTTGAGGCATGTTGTAGCACATTACTGATGGACTGCCAAATATTTTTCTGATTATTGTCATCTGCATTACTTCAATGCATGACGTCAATATCACACAGTCCTAAGTACAGTTGGTTCAGATGAGTCTTGAGCTGGTATAGACCTCACTGAAGTACACAAATACAATGACTTTCCTTTCTTTTTGTCTTTCTCTGTGTCTCATTTTGAAATCTACCTTTCTCTTCCTGTCAAAAATGATCTGAATTCTTCTTGTATTTTATTGATGCTTTTAGGTGAAGAACTTGACCTTGAAAATCGAACAGGAGACCCAAAAGCGCAGTCTGACGCAGAATGACCTGAAGGCACAGAACCAGCAGCTCAACTCCCTGAGAACCTCAGAGAAGCAGCTCAAACAAGAGATGAACCACCTGCTGGACATAAAGCGCAGTCTGGAAAAGCAGAACCAAGAGCTGCGCAAGTCAGTACTTTATTATGCAACAGTAAGATATAACATCTTGAATAGAAAATAAACACAGTAGGGATGAACCATGTTGGAATAATATTTAATTGCAATATTTATGACAGTCTGCTCAGAGAACACATTTTTAACAATTCAAAGAGTGTTGACATTTGAGAGAATATTGAAATATGAATTGCTTGCATTCATTCAGGACATGTTTGTAACTGTCTAAACAACAGGGTTAGCAGGTTTTATGCATAATGATAAAGGGTAACGGACTGTTCAAAGAGAAAATTATGTTGTACTTAAATTGTTTCCATCTTGGCTGATTTTGACTATTTAAATTATTTTCATTAAGTAGCAATTTTACAGTTTTAAAACACAGTTACGATATATTAATGTGAGTAATGAAGGTGCTTTTATCCCCAAGTAACATTATTCTGTAGGAGTAAAATTCTTGTTTAGAATAGTAAATGAAAAAGTATCGTTGTAATTTCTTCCTTCTCCTTAACTGCTACTGCAACTACTGGTATAAACGCTACTAGAACTGTTAATGCCAACAATACAAGTTTGACTTCAGCTACTACTACTTTCATTATTATGTTTTTTCTTTTACAGGGAAAGGCAAGACACAGATGGACAAATGAAGGAATTACAAGATCAGTTAGAAGCTGAGCAGTATTTCTCTGTAAGTGCCTGTTGAAACATGAGTCATTGTGTGTAGGCTGCTGTATGCTGTTGTAACGTTTTTAAATATTCTGCATATCTGAATTTACACACAATTTACTGTTGTTTTCAGACACTGTACAAGACCCAGGTGCGTGAACTGAAGGAGGAGTGCGAGGAGAAGAATAAACTTTATAAGGAAGTGCAACAGTCTCTGCAAGAGCTACAGGAAGAGCGGTGAGAGTCTAAATTCAAACAATGCCCACATGAAAAATTGTTACTCATCTGCCCCTTGGCCTTTGTATGATTCATTAGATGCATTCATCACAGTCTACAATTTGATCTCACAATTCAGATAGAGGGCAGAGGCCTATACAAGCATACAGGTCTTTTGGTAATTTACTGTTTTGAAAGAAATATCCAAACCTAATTTGTTTTAATCTTGTATCTTAAAACATTTTCACTTCTCATTGATTGAATAATGTTTTGTAAAGATATTGTGAAAACATAATTACAAAAGATGAAGTTGAACTTTCTTGCCTTTATTACTTCACTACATTTTGATAACCCACTACAAAGATATTAACCGTACTCCAGTAACAAATGTATGCAAAGTATATTTTACCACAGAGTTAACTGCCTACCAGCTAACTAGTAAAATTAACAATTTAGAACAGGACCATCCGATTTATTTTTCATCAATATTAAAACTATAAAACAGATAATGAGTGAATTATTCAATAAAGTTGCTCAGTGTCACCAAGTCTTAATTTAGTCTCAGAACCTCTGTCTCACAAACAAATGTTGGTTATAAAGATAGGTAGAGGATTTTAAACTTGCAGTAAAAAGTACTTCTCAGGATAATCCAAGCAACATCACCCCGGGCCATACTTTGGACTCCCTTAGATTGTTTTGACATCACAAGCTCTTATCGTATGTGTTCAGGGACTCTTTGGCGGCGCAGTTGGAGATTACACTGACAAAGGCTGACTCGGAGCAGCTAGCCCGGTCCATCGCTGAGGAGCAGTACTCAGACTTGGAGAAGGAGAAGATCATGAAGGAGCTGGAGCTGAAGGAGATGATGGCACGACACAGACAGGAGCTTTCAGAAAAAGACATCACCATCAACTCGGTCAGTGTTCAAGCAAGTAGGATGATTCACTCAAAATGAATTACTCCTTTTGTTGGGATTACATCACAATTTAGAGTTTATCATGGATTTCTTACTCTGGATACATTTACAGAAACATAATCTGATAACTGATTATGTTGGGTTACATGCTCAATCAGATCTGGTGATCTTTTTAATTTCTGTCTTTGTCACATTAGTTTGCCATTGTCTGTATCTGGTTTCATTTGTCTCATGCATTTATGAAGCTGCATGAATGGGTTTACATAGAATTATTCATTTTGGTGATTGGTACTGTTAGTATGAACTTAAATTTATCAACAGTTAAACACACAAAGATTTAAGATGCCAAACCCTTCATCAGAAAAGTTTGAGAAATGGGGCAGAGGTTGATGCCCTGAATACTGAACTCATAACAGAATGCACAGAAACTGATCTTATTCTGCTCTTCCCAGCTGGAAGAAGCCAATCGCACCCTCACCAGTGATGTCGCCAATCTGGCCAATGAAAAGGAGGAGCTCAACAACAAATTGAAGGATATGCTAGAAGGTAATCTAAAATTAAATCTCACATTTTATCCAAGGGGAATATATATTTTTTTTATCAGAATGACATTTATTCCTATAACTACTTTTATAGAAGCTGAGAAGTCGAAGGATTGGGAGCAGCAGATCAGCCAGATGAAACAAGCATTTGAAAAGCAGCTGCAGTCTGAGAGGACGCTGAAAACTCAGGTAGCCCACTCACCAAACAACTTAAAAGTATTCTGACACTAGCAAACGATTAACACGTAATTGTGCTATTTTGTCTCCAGGCTGTCAACAAGCTGGCTGAGATCATGAACAGGAAGGAGGTGCGTGGAGGAGGTAGTCGCCGCGGTAACGACACAGACATGAGGCGAAAGGAGAAGGAGAACAGGAAGTTACAGCTGGAGCTGAGGTCAGAGAAGGAAAAACTCAACAGCACAATCATCAAATACCAGAGAGAGATCAACGAGATGCAGGCGGTCAGTATCATGATGTGCTTTCTGTTCCCTTTTCTTTTACCTGTTGCCCAATTACATAATAAAGCAAATCAGTGTTATAATATTAAGTACTGTACTGTTTATCCTGTCATTGAATACTGAATTTTGTAGACCTTATCAGTAAAAAAGTTAAAGGGCCCATCTTACGCCATTTTTCTGATCAATGTTATAATGTTATTTCGTGATCAGTAACAGAAAACACACTTGTCATGTGGTAATACAGGATGTGCTCCGCTATGTTTTTAACCTCCATACACCTTCACTAGAATTATTTGGATCATTTCTGTCCTGGAATTGCCAATTTCTACTGAACTAAAGGTAAAGAGTAGCTGTCAATTTGAAAATTACCACTACATGACATCACAAGGTGGATCAAGGCATTTTGAGCTTTAAAGATTTAGACAGACAAAACACAACTCGAGGTATGTTTTTAATGAGGTAACAGCATTATAGCATGTCTTAAAGCTCACAAGAATCAATTTTGTGTAATACAGGGCATTTAATGTTGATTATAAACTAAAAATATAGTTTATAATTCTAAGTTAATTAGTTTTATATTGACATACACGGCTGATTAGTATTATTGTTGTTAACACTTTAGTTTTGGTTCTGGGACCAACTAATAAAAGGCATAATAAGTGCTTAATTAGTACTTAATTAGTTAATATAATCCTAATAAGCATTAATTAGTGTTCAAACTAATAGCTTCATAACCACCAACAAGCATACCAATTAACTAGTGTATTAGTAACTAGTATTACCTTTTTAACTCTTATGCGCTTCACTTTTCTGACTGACTACAATAGTTCATGTTTCATTCATATTTTCTTCTTGTAGCAATTGGCTGATGAGAGCCAGAACCGCATTGAGCTGCAGATGGCACTGGACAGTAAAGACAGCGATATCGAACAACTCAGGAACCTCCTACAGTCGCTCAGTGTTCAATCAATGGACTCCACCAGCATCAGCAGCGGGCCTGAGTTTGACACTGACGACGCATACACAGGTGAAGACTCCATCACAAATGTTTACCTTGAATTGCTTATAATTTAAAGAAGTAAATGGTATTATTTATTTTTCCCAAATCAGAAACCAGACTTGAAGGTTGGCTGTCTCTTCCTGTTAGAAACAACACTAAGAAGTTTGGATGGGAGAAGAAGGTAGTACAAATTAAATCAATCAAAAGTATCACAGCAAGTTTAGACATGCATTTACATATTTTTCCATTGTTTATAGTATGTTGTAGTGAGCAGCAAAAAGATACTTTTCTACAACAGTGAACAAGACCGAGAGCAGTCTCTTCCTTACATGGTTCTGGATATAGAGTAAGTCATTTCAAACCTAATTCTTCATTAAAACCTACATGTTGTTTTATATGTAATTGTAAAAGAAACTGGAAAGACATCTAAAGTGCAGCTTTCTGTTGTAACATAGCAAGTACTAAGATCCTGTCACAAATGTAAATGATGAGGTTAAACATTTATGAATTTAGGCATTTCTTATGATAATAATATCATGTAATCAGCAGGAACAAATGGCTCTTGCCTCATGTAGGACTGTGACAATAACAGTATATATTACTTTATTTATTTCAGCAAACTCTTTCATGTGAGACCTGTCACCCAAACAGATGTATACAGGGCTGATGCCAAAGAAATCCCCAGGATATTTCAGGTCAGGATCAGGAACAGACTTGTTATCACCAATTAAGTCTAATATTCAACAAACCCTTTGAAGACACTATCTTTATGTGACAGATTCTCTATGCCAATGAGGGGGAGAGCAAAAAGGAGAGTGAGGAGCAGCTGCCCATTGGAGAAAAGTCCAGTTACATCTGCCACAAAGGCCATGAGTTCCTGCCCACCCTGTACCACTTCCCCACCAACTGTGAAGCCTGCACCAAACCGCTGTGGAACATGTTCAAGCCCCCGCCCGCTCTCGAGTGCCGCCGCTGCCACATCAAATGCCACAAGGACCACATGGACAAGAAGGAGGACATTGTTGCACCATGTAAAGGTAATATGAGTTGGCAAAAATGTTGGCAAATGATGGCAGCTTTTTTACATAAAATTTGTTATGGGTTATGTTTACTAGTAGATGATCTTGTCTTATGTGAATCTATTGCATTTTCAGAAGTAACTGCATTTCTGTACATTTGCTTTTGTTAAATATTGTCCAGATATGAGTCTTAAAGCTAGAAATTAAAAAAAGTGTATATACTAGTCCACCATCACAAATAATTAGAAAATCATGAAAAACTTCAATATTTTTATCACAGATTTTTTGTTTATTTCTTGAATTTTTATGATTGTGACTTACAGATCATGACAAAACAAAATTTTGCGTTTGAACATTGTGAAAAAGCCGAATATTGGGAAGTCATGGTTTTGAAATATTTCACTCTGTGTCGTCGGTGTATATAATATATGGATTTGACTTTTTTCATTCTGATTATTTGTGATGGACTAGTGTATTTTTTATATATAATTTGAAAAATCCAACTTTATTTCAAACTATAAAAAAATATTTTGTTTTTAATAACTAAACACTATACAGCATCTAATAACTGACCATAAATATATTTGGAGCTCAACATGTTATGGCGTAGTTGAGTTGTACAGGGAAAATGCACAATAATACACTGACCAAGACAAATAATTCCTCTTACTCTTTTACACTCTGTGTTTTAGTCAATTACGATGTGTCCACGGCCAAGAACCTGCTGCTGCTGGCGATATCCCAAGAGGAACAGCAGAAATGGGTGAGTCGTTTGGTGAAGAAGATCCCAAAGAAGGCAGCCGGATCAGAGCAGTTTGCACGCTCCTCACCGCGCTCCACCATGAAGGTCCAGGCCAGCCAGTCCATGAGGAGGCCCAGCAGACAGCTCCCGACCAGCAAGAGCAGGTACCAACCTCACACACGATTCACAATAAAACAAACAAGAAGTTGTATATCTTCTGAATGTTATGAGGAAATTCAAGAGGAGATGTCTTCCTTATTTGAGAGACACATGCAACAAATAAGTGGCTGTGATTGCACCATTCCAGAGACGGTCTGCTGTCATATATGATCTAGTTCCAAACCGTTCTGCATTCAAATAGAAGGTAGGAAGGACAGGCTCACTAGGAAACAAATTCTGCATCCTACATAAAGCCCTGTTAAAATAATTACGACATGAACTTCAATGGATGAAAGGGCTCCATATTTATCTGTATTATTTTACACTAGTGAAGAGCCTTTTGATTTCTCCAACATGTGAGCTGTACAGCAGGACTTTACTGCAGGTTTTTACTCGTAATCCCATAATGAGCTATAAAATAGTATATTATAATATTTGATATAACAATAGACTTTAAGTTGAGGGCTGCCATGCTTATTTTTTGGAAGTATGTTGCAAGTATGAAACACACCCACAAAATGACATATTGCCTTTCAGAAACTTATTATAAACTTATACAAAACCAAAACTTACTCATAATGAAGTACTCATACTGGCCCATCCAACCAACATACTTAACAAAACTTTTTATCTGGTCATCCAAAACACACCCCATTTCAGAGAGCTGTCTCCAGACTGGAGTCTTCAGGACTGGCACTGGGCTCTGGATGATATTGATGACGATTGTTCTTCAATTCATTTCTGAAAATTGCACTGGTAACAGTTTGTGCTTTGTGTGCTGTGTATTGCAGTGCTTCTTTTTTCTTAAACTGGAGGTTTTCATCAATGAACTACAACACTTAAGAATCAGCTGTAAACTAGGACATAACTTTACATGGTTTATACATGAGTGTTCTAACCCAGCCCCCGCAGGTCTAACGGCATCAAAGTGAAGCGACAAGAATCTGACAGTGGACAGTGGTACAAATGATCCACGCTGACCCTTAACTTCCTTTACGTCTGTATGTTGACTTGACTTTTTCTCTTTGTAAACTGGAAGTGGTTAACAGACACGTGGTAACAGTGCATGTGATGGGGTGGTGTTTGTTACATCTAAGAAGCACTGTGGTACAATAAAAGCAATTGTTATTAAAATGTCTGAAAAATGTACTCAGTAATATTTTGTGTGACACTGACTGATGATACTTATTGGTGTTGCCTTGCAGTTAACCTTGCTTCGGAGCGTGGTGCCTCTTCATTGTGGTGGGATGCAGTCAGTTCCTCCTAAGACTCGATAAAAAGCAAAGAGACACAAAACTCAACTCTGCTTGTTCTGCCTCACCCTTGATGGCAATCATTTTTCATCTCACCTGTGAGCCTCCCTGTAAGCTGTACATCTGTTATGGGGCAGCTGGCCCCAATCCAACAGTGGATTACATTTCACCAACCCAAATGCCCTAAACCACCACACAGCTTTTCGGCAAGACACAGTTCACCTCTGCATCACTCATCACAAGGCACTGTTGGACTGAAGGAAAAGTGGACTCTTCCTCACCTCCTATGGGGACTATTATGGCCAAAAAAGACTTCTTGTGTTTGTGTATTATGAAGATTCTAAAGGGGAACACTACAGGTTAAATTTAGAATCTTAATGCAGCCTAACGTCATTGGCTGTACTTTATAAAAGTGTGCAGTTGTTGCTAGTAGCCTTGTTTTTAGATGTGTGTCCGCACACATTGGTAACATGTATAAGGTACTTGCATAAACATTTGAGGAGTGTTTGGGCATTGCATTCACATTCCTGTAAGATTCTCCTATTCCACTGGTGTGACAAACATTCTGCTCTGGATTAGATCCACGTCCTTGCCATCAGTTTTAAGGGTGTAATTGTTTGAATGTACTTCTGGCTTGACCAGATATCACATAGGCATTATATGTAGTTGTTTCCAAAAGTACTTGACTGAACGTTCTTGATCACGTACTATCATGAGTGGACTTGTGTTTACCTTCTCACTCACTTAAGTGAAGTAAACTGTGGGCCGCCACTATCTGCAATGGAGTCATGCGGCTTTTCTCACAGATATGAGGGTATTTAAGAGAGAAACAGAGGTATGCAATCAGTTTTTCAACACAAAAGCAGCACTATTCTACTTAGTTTTCTAAAAGTGTTTGTCATTATATTTTTGTATTCAAAGTACCAGATGCTTGGTTTGGGCACATCATGTATGTGGCTGAAAGAGCATGTGTAGAGTTGTGTGTGTTGAGTGTGAACTGAGTGCTCTCCTTTAACCAGAAGCATGTTTTATACATATAAATATACACAGTATATATTTTACAGGCCATACAGTGCACATTATATTATTTATACAGCCTTGTCCACTTTGTATTTAAGGGCTCTACAACAATTGCATGTTTGCTTCCAAACTGCTCTATAAAAGTAACCACTTAAACAATAAAGACATGGATGTGCCTTTTGCTTATGTTTTTTGTTGTTTATATGAACAAAAAGAAACTGACAATTACAATTTTTAGTAGTGTTTTCAGCAATTACTAAATGTGACAAACACACGCATAGACTCAGAAACCCAATTTATTTGGTGGTAAAAACATTCCATTCTCTGTTGAACAAGCAACACATCCTAGAACTGATATCTGTCTGCTTTTATAGTTTGTACTGTATTATTAATTCTTTCATAATTAAAACAGAGACAAAGGTTTGGTAACAGCACAAAACAAGAATGTTCACGTTGAAACCTCATATAAAAGCTACTTAAAACACACAGCATCGTCCTGAGAAGAACATTGTGGAAATACTTGGCTTGAGTTGCTTTTGCAACGTCATAACAGTATTCGTTGGTATCACATTGGATTGGCGTTTACATTTTAGACAGTGGAATGTTTGAGAGAAATGTGACGTCCGACACCGAGGTAAAAACAATAAAAGCACATTTTAAGGGAAGGTTTACACAAGGTGCGTACATAACTGTTGTACCAGTCTGTCTCACTTAGAGGGATAAACTCAGTCCTCTTTCTTATGGCTGCTTTGTCTTTGGTAGTAAATTACTGTGAGGAGCACCCACATGTTTAACAGGGTCATCACTATGAAGCGCACCAGCACTACACCAGGGAATAAAACACAGAATTAGTACCAGCATGCCTCAAAGGATTATGTAAATGAACAAATTCATAGATGCAAAATCCCATAAATTAGATTTATGATTTATGCTATAATCAATATGCAGACTTACCCAGCATGTCGCCTGTTGTGACGGAAACTGTGTAAATCCGGGCTAAAATGGAAACACTAATTGTTAATGGACTGTATCTTAATAAGTATATTGAGCAGCAGCAGTTTGCAAGTGTAAATTCAAGCAATACTCAGAACAAAGTGATACAATGGCACTTACCTATGCATGTATAGAGCGCTAAAGCCCATGTAAGAGCACTCACTTGCCCTGCATCTTTTGACTTCCATAGACACTGAAGTTGGGCAAATTTACTGGCCGCACTGATAAAAGTACACAGACTCTGAAAAAAACATTACATCATACTTAAAAAAAAAATCCTCAAATTATCAATGTAAACAAACCTTCTTACCATAGCTGTATCTATAACTAACTTGTCCACAGTTAACAGATGCCAGCCCCCAACAAACCTAAGCACACATTGTTAAGGAATGTCTTTTTGTGTCTTTGAAGCACTTCCTCAGGAAGTACAACAGTGAGGTTAAAGGATACAGAAATGTGTAGAGAAGACTCTGCCTCAAACAGCCTCTGTATTGGAGGATCAGCAGCAAAAGAAACACATCTATATGAACAGAAAAGAGGGTTATTGTAACATTTACCTATTCATGCAAGTCTATCTGATTGCTGAAAAAATAAACAGTAATAAAATAATGATAATAAAATGTAACTTGCAAGATCTAGATCTGGATTTTGTCTTATAGATTTTTTAGATTTGCTTTGCTTTAGATGTTGTGTCTGTAGTTAAGGAGCATTATACTAGGACATTCAACCTTTCTGTTAGGACAATGCTTCATTGTTTGTTTGGTACATGTCAGTGCCAGACTACTTCCCAATATAAAACAGCACTAAATTTAGAGTCATAATGCAGACATTAACTTAACGTCATAGAAACGAGTGTTCCCCTTTAACCACAAACATGTTTTATACATATAAATATACACAGTATATATTTTATAGGCCATACAGTGCACATTATATTATTTATACAGCCTTGTCCACTTTGTATTTAAGGGCCCTACAACAATTGCATGTTTGCTACCAAACTGGTCTATAATAGTGACCACTTAAACAATAAAGACATGGATGTGCCTTTTGCTTGTGTTTTTGTTGTTTATATGAACAAACAAAGACTGACAATTACCCTTTTCATCACACATATGATGTATGTAAAAGCATTACAAACATGTCTTAGCCTATATTATTATATTTCTACAATACACCTAAATGCCACTCACCTTGAGCAATGAGAATAGGATATTCCAGATATGTTGGAGGAGGGTAGTCATAGTACATTTGATAAGTTACAAACACAATAAATCTGAAAGAACAGATTAATGTTATTAGAGTACAAAAAAACAAAACACTGGCCACCATGCACTTTAAGTATTGCAGATGCTCAATCTCCACAACAGTCTCCACAACAAACAGACAAACAACTGTTGCATGTTTAGGATGTTGAAGCCTTAGGTTGAAGCAGATCCTAAACAACACAGGCCATCTCAATGTAAACATGAATGTTACTCCTGGTGCCTGCATGTGACTTAAGCAGCAATGATGAAGAATGTTGATGACATGGTGCTATGGTGTTTGATAGGCCTAAAGCTATTTTGCAAAAGTCATGCAAAATAATATTCAATTATTTATAATTATCGCTCACCAGTACATCTGAGATAGTTGTCAAGTAGGCATCCAAATGGACAAAAAAGACACAAAAGGTGAGCCTATTTAGAAAAATTTAACTAAAGTAATTGATGCTGTTTTAGTGATTTTCAATTATGAATTCATTGTGAATAAATTCAAGCCATCAACTGGTCTCGCATATGAAGTTGGCACAATAATTGTTTTGTAGCAGATTACTTGTTTGCACATCACCACCTGGTCCACCCCGAGGACACAGAGCATGGACCACACCTTTCATTAGTTCTTTTAGCGTTCTCTTTTTTCTCTTAAACTGGTCTGTGTGTTAATGTACAGTATACAATGTACTTGGAATCTTTGGAGGATGCACAGAATTAGAAAGAAGAACAGGAAACATTACTTTTTCCTATCACGCAACACAACATGCCAAATGAGTAAATAGAGTAAACATCACACTTGAACTGAATTTGATATGAAACAGTCCACCATGAAAACTATAAAGTAGCCTATATTACCCGACAAGTTCCAGCAGCAGACTGTTGAGACTGACTCCAGCTGAGGTTTTGGCCCGCATCAACACAAAGATCTGCGGGAACTTGAGCACCATACACACAAAGAGTGTGCTGAAGTTTGCCACGTGCAACAAAGTATCGTGCTGCATCTTTTCAAAGCTTAATGTTTACTACTTTGGTCCTGAAATTTAGCATCCAGATGCTGTCGTCACCAGAGTCAATGATACACCAACTACAAAGCAATCACGGCTGCTTCCGTCTCAAACTTTCAAAATAAACTGGTCGCGGTTGTGAAGCGATGGCTGCTGATCGATGGATGGTAAAAATTATGATGTTATTTTGAAGGTTATAGTGGCCATAGTTCCTGCCCGCTTTGCTCACCCGCTTCCGCGAACAGGAGAACTTAAAGATGCACTATGTGATTTTTATTTTATTTTTTTCTGGTGAAAGAGCCACTACCTGAATGTGTCCATGGAGATGTTCATGTTCCACTGTATGGCATTAAACCTAGCATATATATCTTGCAGCAATATCAAAGTACAATACAATTATATGAAGGCAACTTTTCCTTTAATTGTTTCACATAATGTTTTATACACTACACTTAAGCCTTGGAAATGAGTAGGCAGGGCATTTAACTCATACAATTCATAAGCTTACATAACACCAAAAAGGTATATATATATATATATATATATATATATATATATATATATATATATATATATATATATATATATATATATATATATATATATATATATATTTTTTTTTTTTTTTTTTTTTTTTTTTTTTTTTAGACCACATATATATAATATGTGGTCTAAATCAGGCCAGTAGTAGGCCGAATCTCTGGGCCCAATTTGTGCCGCTGGTTGTTGCTGGACAGGAACAGTCTGTCCAGCCTCTGCACCTCCTTCCCCACTGGAGAAGACAGTCTGCTGCCAAACATTTGGTTGCTGGTACATGGGACTTTATCAGAGAAGAAGGACACATAGCTGGGCAGAGGTGTCTCTTGCTTTGATTCACCCTAAAAATTAATTTAACAAAGAGTAAAGGACAAAAACATAGAATATAAAATTCAGGTTACATTTATATTTGAGAGCCTATGTAGAACAATAGGCCTAGTTCAAGTCTATTAGTTTGTAGTCTACACTGTAAACTATAAATAATAAACATTTCCATCTTACCAAGTGATCATTCTTCGTTAGAAAGTCCCAGTTTTTCTCCCTGTTAACAATAAAGATAATTAGTTTAATACAGCATTAACTGCTTTAGGTAATCTAGACAAGGTGAAGAAGTGAAGTTTATCCTCACCATTCCTTGACTCCTCTGCGTTCCCTCCACACCATCTCTCTCCAGAAATTGTCCTGTTTCACGGCGTCCTTTTGGCTTGTGCCCAGAGAAGCTCGTTCTTCCTGGGCATACAGACTCCGGTCCATCCGGGGCTGGCTGCTTTTGGGTTGGACCACGGTGGTTCTCGGCTGCAGCCTGTACCCCGCAGACGACACACGCCTCATGCCTGTGATGTCCATCTTCATCACAAGCAGGAGCCTTGTCTGTCTTGCCTTAAAAAGTGATAAGCAATAGACAAAAAGAGCGCGAGAAAATCACTGCTTTGAACTAGCTTTGTTACATGTGTTACCTTGACAACCATCTCTTTGGCTCGCTATTTTACAGGCTAACGCAGCAGGTGGGATTCACATGTTGTTGGGAAAATAAACTCAGAGAGAAAAAATATTATTACTTACATTTCCAATGCATTATGTATGGATTGCATTCAATACATTCAAATAATAATGTGAAGAATTTATGTTTTGCAATTTAGCGTCACGCTTATTCTGAAAAACGGAAATACAACTCGCCGAGCTTTTTTTCTGAATCTGCCCAAACCGGATGTACTTTGTAAATTCTGGCACTCTTGCATTGACATTTGACAATTCTTTATTTCTGTGTAGTTATTTTGTCCATTAAGGAAATAAAAGAGACGCCATAGTTAAGGTAATGTATATTCTTATGTGCTATACTAAGTGTGTTATGTGATATTTATTGAAAAACGTGCTTGTGTGGAAAAAGTGGTTTGCAGTAATCTCATCATAGTAACATTGCATTTAGCATGGATTTTAGTAAATGCTATATGATGACCGTAAACATGCATATCTGCGTAAAAGCCCTTTACAGTGGCCTTAGCCAAACGTAACGAATTATTTAAGGCAATTATTTCCCTCTCTTTGCGATGTGGATGTGGATTAAATAAAGTCCCAGTCCGCACTTTGACTTGCTAGCTAGCTCACTATCCCAATGAACTCTATTTAAATATTAGTGACTGTGGATAAATTAGACTACGGGAAAAATAGCGACTCGTCATCGTGCATCTCTGACCAAAAAAAGATCCTCATTTGTTGTTGTTAATAAGGTTATATTTAATATTTGCAGACTACAAAGTACTAAGTAGTAACTTCATCATAACTTTAGTGTCATAATTGCAGGTCAGGATTATTGATTCTGTGGGTTTAGAGAAATACTATTCTAGGAGGCTGTAAATTAAATCATTTACAAAGGACAGTCGGTTTGCATTATCTTCTTTTCCGAGCAATGTTTAGACAATGTAAATGACTATGTAAAATGTTGTAGTTGTACAGTTAGATCTTTTTCAGTAAAGTAAAGAGAGGATGTAACAACAGTTAAGTGCTCTGAATGCCTAGTATCTTTAAAGGCAAAGGCAAAAGAGAGGACAGCTGTGAGGCATCACAAGCTGAGAAACAAGAAGCTCTTTGTAAATTGAGGCTTTTGCACTCTTGGCCAAAGGAATAATCTTTAGACAGTCAGCCTGTGCCCTCAGACAAAGTTTCTTCTGTTTGGTTGAAATGTAATCTTAACCATTACAATTCAGAAGATTGTTATTTCACAGCATTTCTGCTAAGTAAAAAGCAAACAAGCAAACAAACAAACAAAAAAGAGCTAAAAGGAGTTTTTAGTTTATCCATTCCTTAACATATTCTTTATTAAAAAAATATACTCACTGTTTTAATGCTGTTTTTAACCAGTGTTAAAAACAGTTGTAATTTTTGTTGTGGGAAAGTGCAGTATATCTTTACTGTTACGGCTGCAAAAAGTGTTATTATTTTCTAATCCAAAATCCCAGGATGGCATTATAAAATATACAGCCACTGTTAGTACCATTTTTAAAAAGTGGTAATTAGTGTAGTAAAAATGCAATATATCTTTATTATTAAGACTGTAGAAAGTGCCTCTGTGTAGTCATCAATAGTTAAGTAATCTCAAGTGACCACTCAGCAGCTGTAAAACCTGATGCGAGTGGGTGAGCTGTCAGAGGTGATAGACTCCTGTCTTTGGTCGAACACTGTGGACAGCCTCAGCGCTCTCTTCAGTTTGCCCTCGACACTGTTTATGTGCCCTGTCACCCAAAGCCACATTCTCTGAATTGTAGCCCTCATGTACGACTCTTCAGGAGCCACTGGGGTCAGCCGTGCACCAACACCACCACCAAAAACTATCTGAGGAAAGTGAACAGAAGCTGCTGTGCAACTTGTAGTAAATAGTATCTAGACTGGGGATAGAGGGCACACAAAAATTATTTAATATGTTATGGTTTAGATAAATATGTGTATGAAGGCCTGTTCTTTTCATTTTTACTCCTGCCAGACCAGGACTTGGAGATATGGAGAAACAAGGATATGATCGTGAGTTTTGGGTGTAGTTTGTAGGTGAGACTTGTGTGTGATTTTAGTTTGACCCTTTTCATGAACCTTCTGTGAAAAAATAAAGTTTACTTCTGTTTACCATTTTAATGGCTATGAAAACCTTCTGTTTAGCCAATACTTATAACTAGTACATTTTGCAGTTCCTTTATTGAATTGTAAAGCTGCAGTCAAGTCTTACACTTTCTTTTTGCCTGTAAAAAAATAAGATTGTGCTCTCTCTGTGAGTTAATTTCTTTTAAGCTTTGATGTATAGTGAATTGAAACCAATATCAAGTACACTGGTATATTATGAGCTTTGAGCTGTGCTTGGCAGAGATTAGACCTACTTATGTTCTCAGAATAGGATGTCTAATATTGTTGCAGGCCTAGGCCCGGAGGGGGAGATGACTAAGGAGGATGTGTCAGAGCCTGTGGAGGGCGACACAGTCCCAGGCAGTCGACTGGGACTATCCCATCAGCGTCCAGTGGTCCACCCAGTGGCCTCTGCGCCCATACCCAGTGAATGTGGTAGGTCATGTATCCCTTAAGTACAAACACACCAATACCTTTGTACTAACCATCACTGACATCACTGACAGCACAGTTATTCATCTAGTGTTTTTACTTTTTACATTGGATAAAAGTTTCCTTACTAATTAGATTCATTGTATGCTAATCCTGTTAAGGCTTGTACTTTGAAGTATTGCATGGATCGAAATGTGGCCAAATGAGAATTGCTTAGCAGTTGTATTTATGCTTCACAAACTTCCCTTCCAAGAGGAAGGATAGTTTTACATTTCTAGAGCTGATCATTGCATGTTCAGCCAATATGTTCACAAATAAAAGGTAGTGGTAGTAAGCCATGGTAGAACACATATAAAATTGAGATCCTCTTCTCTCCAGAGTTCTCCTTCTTTGACCCAAGTGACCTGCGATGCAAAGAGATCCTGGAGGATCCTAGCACCACAGTCCCAGAGCTGTTTGCTGTGCTCAGGCAGTGGATGCCCCAGGTCCAGAAGAACATCGATGTCATTGGCAACGAGGTAACCTGCATTATCACTTCGGCATTACTGTGATTTTCCGATTTTAATGTCATGGTGCATATTTGCACATTTTACTTTTCCTAATACTGGTAAATTCCCAGCTTTGTAAGAGACTCAGTGGATGCTAGTGTAGCGATTTTCCAGAGAACAACTTGACTTGAGGAGATAAAATATATTCTTCTCGCTGTTACAGAAAGATAAGTTGTAGTGGATTTCAAGTATATCTTTTTGACGCACAGATCCTAAAAAGAGGCTGTGGTGTGAATGATCGGGACGGCCTGACAGATATGAGCCTTCTGCACTACTGCTGCAAAGCCGGGGCTCCAGGCATAGGTTTGTATCAACATTCACTAAAACTCTTAAAAATAAACCTTGCAATATAAATCTCCCCGGATGCCCTTGTCGGCTCTCTCATATTTGGGTGTTTACTTTTTATTGTCAGGTGATGCAGACAGGGCAGCTGCTTTTGCCCGGCAGCTCCTGGCTCTGGGTGCAGATCCGAACCTGCGCTCACGCTGGACAAACATGAAGGCTCTGCACTATGCAGCCTACTTCGATGTGCCCCAGCTCATTCGAGTGGTGCTGCAGACAGCTCTGCCCGGAGGTAAAGACTGCCCATCTCACATTATGAGAGTCTTCATTTTGCCTTAAGCATTTTCTTCTTTATATCAGTTTCCAAATTCTGCAACTTTGTAAAAAAGTTGATGTTCCTGTCATTTTAACTATGGTTGGGAAAGCTACATTGATTGTACATAGTGTACATGAATCCTGATACATTTTTCTGCATATTTCCCACTCCTACTTTCAGCCATGATAGACACAGTGATCACTGAACTCATTTTGCAGCACTCTGAACATTAGCTTAAAAAAAATCTTAACCTCCTAAACTTCAAGTGGTCAAACATTGTCAGTATAATGACTCTCTGTTGTTGTAGAGGTGGATGCCACTTGCAGTGACTTTGACTTTGGCACAGCCTTGCACATCGCCGCCTCCAATCTGTGCACCTCAGCTGTCAAGTGTCTGCTGGAATTAGGAGCAAACCCTGCTTTCAGAGTAAGTGGTTTAACTGCTGGTTCACTGGTCAATAAATGAGTCACAGTGTTACCAGTAAATCTGAGGTGAAAAAGTAACTCTCCTGTACAGTTTAGAGCAACAAACCTGTGACAGGAAATGTTCTTGTTTGAACATTTTGTGAATAAGATTATATCATACACTAATTTCCCACTGGAGGTCACCAAAGCACCATACAATACTGGACTGGAATTCTGTGAGCTAACTTTGGAAGCTTTTGATGCATGTGACTTTTGAGCTTGGAATTGTTTTAAAATATATCCTTTTTATTTGTTTTTGACATGTATTTTCTGCGATGTTCAGAGAGTGCCAGGAACAAAATGAACTCAAGAATGCACAGAAATACTAAATATTATCTCCCTTGTTCTGAATTGATTGTGTATATTTGGCTCATAGTTTAAAGAGTTAATAGTGTGCTGTCAGAATCAACTTGTAAAGAAAATATAAATTTGACGTAATTTATTAGTAATGTTCTGTGACAGTTTTGTTTCTGTACTCTTACAGTAGATTAAACAATTGACTTTTCTCAAGGGTTTCAATGATAGAACAAGCACACATTCTAAACAGAAGTAAAGTAATGATATTTTTGATTACATTTTTGTAATAGAACATTTGAAATCACAACTATAAATCTGATTAATTATACAGCTCTGTTTGAATCACATCAGTCACAATTTTAAAAGTAACTGCTGCCTCGTCACATCATGTAAGTTGCAAACCATTGAGTGGCATTTGTTTCCGCTCACTACAGTCTAACTCTGGATCTGCGATGATTTGCAAGTGAAAAGCGCTGACAGGGAGAGAGACAAGCTCCCTTCTGATGTGTATCAAAGACTGCTGGTGTCATCGCTGACGGGGATGGTGAATGAGAGCGACCCAATTACTCTGCACAACCAAGCCAAAGGACCCCCTCACCCCAACCCCCCTCTGTCTATCACGCCTCCTCCTCTCTGCGTCTCCTCCCACCTCCTCTCAGGCGCTCCAGCACTCGCTCTGCACTTTCTTTAGACACCGCACTAATCACCAGTGTTGTGCCACACTGCTGATCAGCTGCTTTTAAAAACACTACAGGCAGATTTAGTGATTTTTGTGCTCCGTGCTGAAATGATGCTAATTCTGTCAGGCGACTCGGTGTGAAAGTGATAAGATTGAAGTTTTTAATCATGGACAATATTGGAGTTATCTGTTTTGTAATTTAATATAGAGAGTAAATGTGAATATTCAATCACATTTGTTTGAGCTGAACACTATGAGAAAATATTGGATTGCGATATTCCCTCAAATATTGCAATTAGATTAAATTTGTAGTTTGTTTTTGTAGCATTTACATTTCACAGAGGGTTTAAATATTAAGTTTTGCTAAAATAATGTGAAATACTTTTACACTGGACATAATATTTCCTAAATATTGTCTTTTTGTGTGATAATTTTAATGACCACAGTTTTTTTTTTTTGTCATTTTGATTCAGTTGCTATTAGTCTGGCTGCCCTGGTCTGCTTGTTGTATAAAATCATCATGGAATATGTCAAACAAATACATTCTTTTTTTCACCAAATGACAAGTAATGATGTTGACTGAATTTTTGCTTTTTAATATTATGATTCAATGCTGTATCTTGCTTTGCCTGTTCTGACTTTTTACTATTTATCTGGCAGAATGACAAAGGCCAGTGTCCAGCCGATGTGGTCCCTGATCCAGTGGACATGCCCTTAGAGATGGCAGATGCCGCTGTCATGGCCAAGGAGCTATGCACTATGCTGAGGGAAGCGTTACCCCGGCCCACCTCCCCTGTGCCCCTCCCCCTACACACCCACACCGCCCCACTGTCTGAACAGGCCCGGGGGCAGCTCTCCAACATGGGGCTGAGGCTCGGTGACCGTGTCATGATCGCCGGACAGAAGGTTGGTAGGAGTATTTCTGGCTTAATATGCTGTATTTGTTGCCTGGGATTCAGAATACACACTTCTCCAGTTCTACTCATGAAGATGTGTGTCTGGTCACTGATGCATCTCCCCGAGTTCATATGGGTGTGATTTCCAGATGCGTTAGCCAAACAGGGATGGTCGTATGATCTTTCTGTATCAAAACAAATCTAACTGCTTACAAGGAAAAAAAAAAAGGAAAATATCTCAACAGACTGAAAGAACTGCAGAATCAATTAGCGAGGCACTAAACTCTGTTGATCAGGGGGGAGAGAAATTTAATTTTGTGCAAGATCATTGGTGACCAATGAGCACCTTTGTTTCAAATGCATCACAAAAATAAACAAATCTGATTGTATGGGTGTGTAGGTTAAATTAAATGTTGATGGGGCACAGCTTTACTTAACATTTCAGACAATTATTTTAGTCCTGAACTGAGAAAAAATACTTTGCAGTTGCTAAGCAACACCATTCTGGCATATTTCCAGCATCCTGGGTTTGTCTGACAGTTCACTCTGGCGTATCAACATTGATCTGTGCCTGTCCAGATTTACATTTATTTTATTTATTCATTTGTATTTCTTTGTTTGATGTTGGTAAACATTTTCTTGATGAATTAGGGTTAGGGTTAGATGGATAACACTTTTAGTTTGATACATACCATAAAGCTGACCTGTTGGTAAAGAGGTTTGTCAGTGATGAACAGTACTTTTACACTGATACCTGCACAGCTGCTCACAGCAGGGACACTCTTCTGATTGGCTGTGAGTGGTTTACTAATTTAGTGTTCTGACAAGGAAAGGTGCTTTATTAGATAACATCTGAATTTATATTCATTATGATTAGAAGCTACCTTGTTGTTGTTAATTTGTTATGATTGAGGGCAGTGTTGTTGATATTAACACAATAAAAAAATAATAAATGCAAAACAGATTTAAAAGCCTTTCCTCTCTGAAATTAGCAGTTGGCAGGCATTGATTTATTTTTAACAGGTACAGTGACATAGGCATTTAAACTTGTGCACAGGTGGGGACCCTGCGTTTCTGTGGCAGCACTGACTTCTCCTCAGGACTGTGGGCCGGAGTGGAGCTAGACAAACCAGAGGGCAAGAACGATGGATCAGTGGCAGGAGTCCAGTATTTCAACTGTCGCTTCAGATATGGTGCATCCCATCATCACAGACAGAGGTCATTCAGAATCCATTGACACTGTGTGTAAAGTTTGTTTTGCATTTCACAGGAATATTTGCACCACTTTCCAAAATAACCAAACCCCTGGAGAGACTTAAACCTGGAGCTATGAGGACGTCCACTCCCATCCGGCCGCCACGCAAAATAGACCTGTCCCGGGTCACTTCTAAGGTTAATACGGGTAAGACACTCTTTAATAAACTACTTGTTAAAAGTATAACTAAAATCCAGTTCAATACTTTTTTATTGAATGCTCTGAAGTTAATTAAATATTGAGCACAGAGTGTTAAACAAGGTCAACTGTAACAAAACTTCATTTTTATTTTAGATCATTGTTGTGTTTGAACGCTACAAACTGTACAATTAAAAAGTGAGGGTATGTTATGTAAAAATGTGCTGCAGCATTACTGAGACCAGTTAGGCTGAACATGACTGCAGAGGAAGCCCTGTGAGCGACCCGTAACATGGTGTGATTGATAGTCCAATTAAAGCAGGTTTAATAACTGGGGCATTGACAAGCTGAGGAGGCTGGCCACTATTCATCACTGGACTCTGTGTGTGTGTCTTTACCACCCATGCACCGCACAGAGGCTAAAACTCACACACACCATCTTTAGTCTTCTGGTTCTACCTGCTCTTTACCGTTCACTCATATCCGGCCCGGGCCAGTCATTTGGGAGCATCTATGGATTGGTTGGGTCATTGTGCACGTCTCGTCTCACTAACGGGGAGACACAGAGGCAGCAGAGGCCCAGACTGGCCCCTATTAGAGCATGTCAGCCGTTAGCCCAGTCCTCAAAGAGCAGCAGACTCACATGCAGCTCACAGTCCCTCTCTGTGGTTCAAAAAGTGTGGGTGCATTCTGTAGTCTGTCACACGAACAGAGACACAGCGAACACAGAGATACATTGGAGATAAACTTTATATTATTTAATGGGACTGCAAGCAAGTAAGATGTAATATCAACTGTATGTTTATTACTGCAGTATGATTATTGATACAAGCTGATAGTAATTCTCAACACCCAACAACACTCAGAGTTAAAAGTGCATTGTGGGGCTGCTTGTCCACCATCTGCTTGTCTCCGTGGAGATGGTGTTGCTGTCTCTGGAATGTTCCATAGTACATAAACTTGTCCATGGACATGTCACAAGCATATTACAACACCAAACCAAATTACAGGTCAGGTCTATGTCAAGGTGACCCTGCATGCATGTATTTCAAAGTGTTTTTTTTTAATGCAGTTCAACACACTGTATAAGGTAAAATAGACAACTTTAATGTAGTACTGTAAAACATTCTAAGCAGAGCAATCACATCTCCAAGAAGATTACATGTTTAAAGTTGCTCCTTTATCTGATTATAAAAACATAATATGCATAATTTTTTCCCTCAAATTTAAGATGATAGTATCACTGTGGCATATCCAGTTTATTCCTTTGTTGAACTCATACATGAAATTAGATATTTAATACTTAATGGTTAGCGCTCAAACAACACCAGCTCCTCACTGCGTTTTCCTCTTTAAAATATCAAAAGAAATCAATACATATTTATTTCTCTCGGTTCATTATGTTTAATACAGTGAAATGTGACACAGACAGATCTTGAAAGATGATTTTGAATCTCCACAAATATGAATGTTACGTACTGAAAGAGAGACTTAACAAGTGCAATTATCAACCTTTTCTCACACAGACTTGATTTTCACACTGCGTTGTGTTGTGTTCCAGATTCCTTTGAAGTTTTCTTTGTTCTTTTGTATTCGCTGCTGCCACTGAAGCTCCTGTCTGAATACAACTGCGTGTCTCAGCATATGCGTTTTATTGTGAGACCAGTGAAATAGACAGTACAATTAAGACTAAAGCTTTGCCACTAATCCTTTATTCGTTGCTTTTCAACATAACCCATCCTGTCAGCAGTGGGTTTTTTGTGTCACCGTGCATCTTTAATTACTGTTTTCAAAAGTTTTACCTTTTCTACCTAGTAGTCATACAACATACTTTTAGTGGGGTGATGAATTATTTTGGATTCATGAATATTTGTATTTTCTGCACCTTTCCTTCAGATATTATTTAGTTCATTTCATTTTTGTGGTCTACTGTATTGTCTTTGAAAATACCAGATTTTGTGCATTATTTATTGTTCTGTCCTTCCAATTACATTAACTTTGAATTAGAAATCAGATGTTATGTCCTGATGGTTATTCTTAAAGTTACTCTTACTTGAGTAATAGTTTCCCCAAATACTACTATACTTGAGTATTTTCTTGGACCACTACTTTGTACTCCTACTTGAGTTACGTACAGTGTTTTGCTGCTCTACCTATGCATGATTTTTCACTGTTAAATGAAATCGTAATTTATTTCCATATATTTTCAAATTAAGAAAAATTACATTAAACCAATATATCAGTCCTGGTTCTAGTCCAGGGGTGGGCAAACTTTTTGACTCGTGGGCCACAAAGGGTTCTAAAATGTAACTGAAGGTCCAGACCTGGAGCAGATGGATGGAGTTTTTTGATAATCCACCTCATAAGAGAAAAAAAATAACATGAGATATATAGAAAATATATCCCATGTTACTGAAATATAATATCCTATAATTGAAAATCATTACAAAGCATTACAACAAAATAACTTTCAAGTCCCATGGTGTTCACTATTTATTGAAATGACTTTTAAAACACTGAAAATTATTTTTATTTTTATTATCAGCAGGCCGGATTAAAAAGGTTAAAGGGCCGCATATGGCCCCCAGGCCGTAGTTTGCCCACCCCTGTTCTAGTCAGACTGAAAATGAAATATGAATATCGATATAAATAGGTTACACAGGTTTTTGCACCAAGCCTGGGGATGGAAAAGGTCTTCTCTTTTAATTAACTACAAATGCAAATATGTTTGAATTCGTGCACTTCAGGAGGCGGACATTTGAATGAGGTGAGGGTGAAATAAGAACTAGAATGCAGTACAGAACAGCTTGGGTTGAGCTTGATAGCATACATGGATTTTGTACTTATAAAAGATGAAAAGATTTCTCCTGTAACTTACCGACCTGGTTCCAATCTTTTCTTATCTTCCCCATGTGGTAGACCTTTGGTGAAGATTTAATCATTTTAAAATCTTCCCTTAATCATCCCGTGGCCTGTGAAGGTCTGTGGAAGTCAAAGCGCTAATCAAGCCTGCTGTCCAAATAGCTTTTTGAGAGTCAAATTGGGCGCCCTCACTATGCTACTTTATAAAAGGAGTATTTTTTAATTTACTTTTACATTCCTTGTCCTTTGGATATTCTACAGAAAAATATGTAAAATGCATTAGCTGGCAGGTTCTATAGCAGGTTTCTATTCACATGACTACTCATGTGAATAAAATGCAAAATGTACTTATTGTGCTCCAGAATTACAAGTAGTTCAAATAATGGCCTAGAGGTGGATAATGTAACTTGAGATGTTATTGGTTTGCTTGGAATGTTCAGCAGTGGGCATCACGCTTGCTTTGAATTAAATAAAAGGTGTTATAGGTGCTAAAAAAAACCCTAGAAAAACATGTTTTCTTTGGTCAGCTGGTTTGCCTCTCCACAGATCTAACCTGTAACTTGGCCTGGTCACCTGCTTGCCTACCAAATGTCACCATGTGTTTCACTTTGTATTCTGTCAACAGGTTTATTGCCCCACTCTCTCTCCTCCTCGTCTTCCTCTCTGGACTCTCGGCCCCGCCCCACCCGACCACGCCCTCTGCCGCGGCAAAGACCATCAGCCCGCCACCGCAGAGAACGCCCTTCACTCAGCCCAAGGACGACCCCATCTATGTCCTCTGCTACTTCAGGTAATAAATTTAATATTTCTTAGTACATTCTCATAAATGACATGTGGACTCGACTTTAAATTCAGTTTTGTGTTTTGAAGGTGTTCGCAGCCGTACCCCGTCAGCCAACAGTTCAGTGTGTGAGGGCTCGGAAGTGCGCCTGGGGGACCGAGTGCTCGTGGTGGGACAAAGGACAGGGGTGGTCCAGTACTGCGGGGAAACTGTTTTTGCTCCAGGTTTGTTCAATGAACAGTGAATAAAATTGTATTATTATATAAAAATACAGCAGTGTCAAAGTTTGATGCTATTATTTTTTTAAAAGACAGAATGATTTTGGCCTAGGCCTGATCTCATAGTACTATATAATGTGAAATGGGGAAAAGAGTGGGAGAGACATTCAGCTATTCTGCGAAATGAGACATTACGCAAAAGGCTGGCACAAATCTTTGTATATACTCTGCTTTCAAGCTCCTAAGCCACAGGACAGGACTTAGAGTACAGATTTTTGTTTAGCACGTGACAAGAAATGGTTTGTTGCCAAAACATGAAATAAAAATATATACTGTATTGCATATAAACTTCCACTTTTTAGACTGATTCAAAGCTATATGCTATTTACGCATGCTTCTGCTCAGCAAATGGCAGCACACACCTAATTCATCTTGAAGACATAAACCTTGAATGTCTCTCTCTCTCTCCTATTATTTGAAGAAATAGCTAAATATCTCAGAAAATATAATCCACTCTTCATATTCTGAACACAGCGGCATGTGGAGATGAGATAGCAATTCCATTAGTTCTTTTAAACCTGATTCATGAGTGTTAAGCAAAGCGAAACAAGACCGTAAAAGCTGGAGCAAGCTCTTAAAGTGCTCCAAATATTTATCTCTGACTTCTGCTTATCTGTCATGTCTGAATGAACATGAACTTGTTTTATTGCACCCAGCATTCTACGGTATTAGAGAGGATTCTTTTTCAACTTCTCTTTGATATTTTTAAATCAGAGCCAGCGGAGTCGTGTTATCTGTGCCCCGGTGCATTGAGGGTTACTGCTTTCTTCCCATAACATCAGAGTTTTCCCTTCGGCTTTTTGTCTCTGGATCTGAATGTGGCACACACACTAAACTACTTTTATTTTGGAGGGCTGAATTTAAGACTAAAGTCATTTGGAGTACAATAATAAAGCTAATCTTCCCTAACCTGTTTTACCGTGCTTGCAGGCCTTTGGTTGGGCATTGAACTGGACAAACCCAGTGGAAAAAATGATGGATCAGTGGGAGGAGTGAGGTACTTCAGCTGTCCACCGAAACATGGGGTTTTTGCTCCTCCATCTCGGGTTCAAAGGTACAGACAGTCTCTTAGTTCCTTATAGTTAAAGGTGCACTATGTAACTTTTCTGGAGAGGATCCACAACTCATTTGTCTCCATGGAGATTTTAATGCATTGGCTTAAATTGCTCACATGATGCTATTAAACTGATGTCTCTTGCATTTACCATAGTTTTTGGACTATAAGTTGCACCAGCCAAAAAATGTGTAATGAAGAAAAAAAATATATATCAGTTGCACAGGACTAAAAGTCACACATTTTGGGGGAAATTTATTTTATAAAATCAGAGACCAGGAACTGACATTTCATCTTGAAAGTCAAGTTATAGTAACATGACATATGAACAGTTCTTCAGATAACTATAACATAAACAACAGAACAGAACAAGTTCACCAAACTCTCCATCTCACTCCAAATCACTAAATTCATTGAATTCTTCATCCTCGGTGTCACTTCCAAGCAACTCAGCGACCTCCGGAGGTAAACAGAGCACTACTTCCTCTTCTGTGTAGCTGTTGTCAGACTCAGCGTCAATTCCAGTTAGAATTATTCCAGCCTTTTTGAATTCTGACAAGATGGTTTCAGTTGTCTTTATGTTTGTTTAAATTTTAAATAGTCAAATACAGAAGTAATGGTGCGATCGACTGACATGATAGCAGACAGGACAGTGGGTCTATGTCTTCTGCAGCCGACATGCGCAGTAGAACAGAGTGACAGGAGTCACAGGAGTACAGGAGTACACAACCCTAGAGCCTCTTGTGGCTGTCAGTGTGAAAATATTAATATATAAGTCGCAGGACCGCCCAAACCATGAAAAAAGTGCAACTTATAGGCCGAAAAATACGGAATTCAACTACATGTGAAAATATCTTAAAAACATGCGAGTGGTGTCGCATCTAACTTGTAATTTGGTTTGTCTCTATGGAGATTCTTAAGTTTATGGCCATACTGTGGAACATTGTAGGTCTCTCCACCAGCCACACAGTGCAAATTCATTGTTTTGTTCACTTCGTAACTTCTTGCATCTTGGGTTCAAAGGTCCACAGACAGTCCCTTTATAAATAATTCACTGTTTTTATTTTCTATAACTTTATAACTTCAAGTCTGTTACTAGGTTACAGTAAACCTACTCATTTACATAACATAGAGCTGTTTTTTTCTTTAATCCATCTGTTACGTTATATGTCTAATGAACTCTTTGACAGCCAGGTGTTTCTATTGACGTTTGTTTTAGTTGTAAGTTGTTTTTCCTTGTATTTGTGCTCTCGTGATTAGCAGCAGTCAGCGTTGTCGGATTTTCCACCCAGGGCGTTACCATAGATCATCACTGACTTTAACATGACATTTTATAATGAGCCAGATGCCACAAGCTCTGCATTTAACCATTGATTACTGCTCATGTTTGTTCAGTGAATGTGAAAAATGCAGCAGGAAAGGAAAACTCTACTCTGACCAACAATTTACAGAGGCGAAATCTATTTGTAATTACTTGTGCCTCTGTTAAGTTGCACTGTCTTTTCCGTACAACAGACTAATGTGTTCAAACTATTCAAGGCCTATAACTCAAATGTATAGTCACAGCCAATGCACACTGACAAAACTACATTTATATCTTATTATAACGCCTCCTCTTACAGTCTTTACATAATGTTTGAAGTGTTATAATGTTGACAAATTGGTGTTAGAAATAGTCTGGCTTTTAGCTGAGAAATATGTTGAAATCCAGTTGAAAAAGGTTGGTCCAATTGTTGTTGCTGTGTCTGCTCCTCAAAGATAAACTCCCAGGTATCTCATCAACCGCCTTAGTGGCTGTTGATGAGTGGAATAAGTCAGTCACGTAAAGCTGTCTCACAGTGTCAGATAATGACTACAGAAATAACCTGAGAGGAGAAATTACCATAGTTATGCACTTTACCTTGCTCCCTTTCAGACTCTTTTCTACTGCTCAGTGCAGTGCTGATAATTATAGTCAGCCTTTTAGATAAAAATATCAGAGTTAGTCCTAAGTTTATTAAAGGTTCCAGTTCTATTCAGCTGGTCAAAGCATTCATTGATTTAGTGTTAAAGACTCACATACCGTGTATGGCACTTGAGTATTAATAACACTGATAACTGCAGTTACCAAACTAGAACAGAATGTGTGAACTCAGCACTGTAAGAGCTCATGTAACTCCCTACTGGAGCTCCAGTAGAGACTATAGGTTACAATTCTTATAACAAATGTAATCCTAATTTATTTCACCATATTTTTTTTTAATGTAATCTCCACTGGGAGCTCTGTGGTTTTCAAACTTGTCTCTTAACCCTGAATAACCGCGAGTCCTATCAGTGTGAATGATTAAGTGCCTACAATGTGTTCTTCAAATACAGATCTGATTTGACTACTACGCAGCACAGTTCAATTGCATTTATCCATCCGCCCGCCTCCTCCTGCACCTGTGCTCATTTGTAAACAGAGAGTTTGCACTGCGTCTCTTCATTATTCTGCAGTGACTGGGTTTGTGTTGAACACACTGTTCATGTCCTCTTTAGACTGAGCTGTTTTCTCTGCAGCCAGCCCCTGTGTTGTCCTGCCATCCCTTATTCATGTCATTTTCTGCTTGTCTTCCTCTGCCTAATTAACCCAGGGGCACACGGTGTGCTCTGACAGGGGAGCGTCTAATGGACAATTTCACATTCTCCCCATCAGACACCTTGTTGCCTCTCTTTGTCTTGCCGTCACCACCTATCACCATCCATTTTACAAAATAAACTGCTTTTTCTTTCTTTTCCACAAACAACATTTAAGACCAAACTTTCTCCTTCAGACTATCACTTTCACTTCTTGCTTTTTATTACGACACTTACTTCTTGTCCTTATTGATCTTGTTCTGTCAGCTGTTTGGTGATTTTATTATTCACATATTACATGGGGTGTGTAATATGTGAGTGTGAAATGTGCTGTTTTGTGTTGACAGGATCCATGGGTCAGTGGACTGCCTCTCTGAACTGTCTTCAGCACGTTTCTCTCACTCATTCAGTGGTGAGTTTCTTTCTTCTTTCTCCTTTCTGCTTGTGTTCTGCAGAGGTCTGTGTGAGACTTGACTTGCGTGGTCTGTGCACAGGGTCGATGCGGCGCAGTTTCAGCTCCACGTCTGCACTGGCTGTTCCCAAGGACTCAGGCAGAAGGAGCAGTGCTGTGAGCAGGTGTGTGCCTGTCTGCTAAGCTCCCATTCCTTTCCCCGAGCTTTCAGCTTCACTCTAATCCCTCCAGCAGTGGCACAATCAATACTGATAAGAAGCCGCACTATTAGTCAGCAGAAGGTTCCTTATTCAATGGCCGCTGCATGATTGTGGTTATAATGAGAGAATACAGGGAATAGAAGATCAATCCCTCAAGCACCAGGCTCCCATGAATCTCTCTATTACTGTGATAAATCGTTCTTTGTACATGCGATCGCTAAACTTTCCTCTGTTTCTCTTGGTCTCTAAAATGCACAGAAGCCGCTCGGCCCCTCATCGCCGCCGCTGGAGCACACTCAGTGGAGGCAGTGGAGGCTCTGGCCCAGCAGGCTCTGCCCCGGGGCAGGTGCGGCTCCGTGTGGGCATGCAGGTGCTGCTGAACAGTGCCAATGAGATGGCCTTTATTCGCTACTTGGGCACTGCGGACTTTGCCCCAGGGCTTTGGCTGGGACTGGAGCTCCGCACTCCAAAGGGGAAGAACGACGGGTCTGTGGACGGACGGCGCTACTTCACCTGTCGCCCTGGATACGGTGTGCTGGTCCGTCCCAGCAGGGTCACCCACAGAGGCATCAACGGCTCACTGCTCGTCTCTGACAACAGCTGAGGACTGAGCGAACTAAAACATTTCAGAGACATTTTTTTTTTCTTTATTGTCTTTTAACTCATTTTTTGTACTAACATTTGCATGCTCTGTGCACCATCCTGGCACTTTGCACTACATGTGTCAGACACACTTAAACACCCTGGTGCCAGTCTATGAAGGAAGGCAGAATCTATGCGTTATATGTGCATACAAAACTGGTCTAAGAGTGTATGGACGTGTTTAAGGCGGCAGCACAGTGACTGTAGGAAACTCACTAGCAGCAGCACAGACTCTACCACAAAGAGCAGAAACACTGAGCTTTGCTGGAGAAAGTTTTCTGTTAGAAACTTTGATCCACATTTGTCCCCAGAACGGCTGCATTTGATCTGTTCTTACATTTGGTCAGGCTGCTCTTTTGTAAAGTTCTTTGCCTGATCTCTCCATTGACATTTTGAATTCAATAATGTTACTTGTGGAGCTGCATGGGCTTGTACAGTTACATACATGCAAAAAACAAAAGCACTTTATTGACATTCTTGTTAGAATTAGTCTTGGATGAATATTATAAGGGAGTCCAAATCTGCACTACCTAATTTTCTTGCACTGAAAGACAGAAATTTGCAGAATTTATACAAAAAAATCAGATAATTTTGATCCTGTGAGAACATATTGTATTTAATTGTATCAGGAGTAAATGTTGCTAAAGCACAACCAAAATGCTTTAAATCTGTGTATTATATTTCTATTGACAAAGGCACTTTTATTCAGTCAATCCCAATTTAAAATGCAGGGTCTGGAGAGCAAAATGTCTGTTTTGTTTGCCATTTAATGAATCTGCACCAGCTAATACAGAGCTATTCTAACACTATCTTAAACTGCTTGGTAACACTCTTTGTCTTTGTTTTTTGTACATGATTTCACTGAACTGCACGGGTCAACTGTGTACACGGTGTGAGAAGTGCATGGTGCCATTCAAAGCATTCACTGTCACACCAAACCACTTTTTCTAATCATATCATTGCTGATACTTGGACCACATTTCCAAACATTAGACATGGCCTAATTGTATTCAGTGCTCAATTAAAGCATCCTGACAGAGGAAATATGCAATTATCTAAAGTTCCAAAGAGACTGCACCATTTGATTAGAGCAGGCGAGTTGTACAAAAGATTGATTGTGAGTGTGGAAAAACAGACCTGCTATTCAGTAAAACCCTCATGTAGCCTCCAATTAGGGTGCATGGCCCACTGCAGCATCGCCAATAGACTCCTGTCATCGATGTGTCTGGCAAGTCCCCAGGGAGCGAGAAAGGAAGAGCACAAGGCTCTCTGATTTTGAAGATCTTAGGGTTTTAAAAAGTGTTTTTAAAAAGGCTGCACTTTAAAACGCTCTTTGAAAATCAGGCTCTTCAAGGCCCTCTGTGATAAATTATATCTTTGAAAACAGTCTAAAAATCAATCATTAATTTTGCTTTAATTGTGGGATGAATCATGAAAGTATCTGCTGGTCCTTTGACACCATTTTTGTTTGTGTAATATGAGTTTGTTAGTTTCAAATATAAATACATTTAATAAAGAATTCACTTTTGTTTTGCAGACTTGTTTTTTTTTTTCCTCGTCTAGTGCAGTAGCCATTGTTTACTTGACTTTGACTGTTCATAAAATACAGGGAGTTTTCTTCTGGGAGTGAAGGCGAATGACATTTTGAGAGCCGTTACATGTTTGCTCACTTACCATTTGATTCCACAGGGGCTAGTCGCTGCCGGAGCTTAAGAAAAGCCTGTTGCATTGTGGGATTGTTCCCTAATGCCAGCCTCGGCAACACATTCAAATCTGACTGAGGGGAACATGCTGTTGAATAAATACGAGCGTGTGTAAAAATGCAACAAGGACATTTCACCTTGTTTTTGTCATAGAAATACAGAAGTCAAACTATAAAGGTTAGTTGTTTAAAGGGCCTGGATTATGCTGTTTCTATCTCTGTTATAATGTTGTTCCCTCATCACAAACAGACTTGGAGTTGCGTTTCGTTACAGTCACACGTTTATCACAGAAACCCTATTTAGGCTGATTTCTTCTCTCAAATGGAAAACACTCTGCTCCACCTTGTGATGTCATGGTAATACAAAAAATGGGAAATGTTCCACTGTGATTATAAGCTCCCTACACCTTCAGTAGAATTATTTGGATATTTTCAGCCCTGGAATTTGCAATCTCTACTGAACCTAAGGTAAAAGGAGCTGTTAAATTGAAAACTACAGCTTCATGACATCACAAAGTAGAACAGAACATTTTGAGCTTTGCAGATGTAAACAGACCAATAATGAAGAGTTAGTCATACATGTGATTGAAACGAAACACAACTCCAGGTCTGTTTTTGATGAGGTAACAACTGTAACTAGCCTGATTCATCAGCCGGTTTCACTTCATGGAAACCATCTGACCTCGCAGCATTAGGATTCGTTCGCTCGATGGTGGGCAGGTACTTTTTTTGTTTAACCAATCGCTGCTATTTGCGTCGTGACGTATGTAATGCGTCGCTAACTGGGATAACTGGTATATTAAGCTTTTCCCAAATCGCATAGGAAGAAGGGCAATAACGTCTTGATAAAATTCACAAAACATTCTCTTTGTTCCAGCTTTAAATCCTCGATCTCGGGAATCATTGCCCACACAGAATGTTTAGCGCTTCACTGATTGGCTGGTGCCCGAACTTGCAAATCCGGGGTCAAAACGAATGGTCTACTGTATTCCAATTCCTGACCTAGTCGCAGGGGAGAAATGAAATTGAGCGGAGGCACTAGGTGACGCCAGCCTGGCTACATTGTAACATGGCTTAAAGCTCAAGTTTGTGTAACATGAGACCATTAAAGACAAAAAGCAATAATAATCTGTATTTGCTCTGTTACATTACCATAATCTATTGTAATTTTTTGAACATTTTTGCCCATTATTCTAGTCACTTGTCACTAGGCAGACTGCCCAGTGTCTGCAACCTGCACGTCTCCATGGAGATGTTATTTCTCTGCCTGGAATGTTCCACAGTATGCATTATCTTCATCACTATTGTCCCATCTTGAGAGTGATTTTACTGTTTGTCTTGCAGTGCTGGTTCCTACATTAGCATTTGAACTGTTTTGCCCGTCATATTTCTAGACTACCCAGTATTTCCTGCTTGGTTCTATGGAGATATTGTTGCTCTACTTAGAATGTTCCGCAGTATGCATTACCTTCAGCTCTATTGTCCCTGCTTGAGTGTAATTTTACGGTTTGTCTCACAGTGCTGGTGCAAAAGGAAAGATGAATACAGAAGCTGCATCAGAGCTCAGATGCACCACGGCGTGTTAAGTGCTCAGATGCAGAATCAGCACTTTCTAGTCAATGCCGAGCTCATCCCCAGTGAGAGACCAATGATCTTTTTCAGGCACAGGAAGATAGCTGCCTTCTGGTTTTTCAACTCTGAGAAATGTACAAGGGACCATGCATTAGCAGCTGAATTTGTGGACATGTTTACAGCTCTGAGATAATCCTGCTGGGGTCTCTGGACACATTCTGGGCTTATAGGCAATAATGACCAGCTCAGTCCATTATCCTGCATAATACTGGATAGTGCTGATAGATTTTACCTCTGAAAATCTCTAAAACTATATTATCTCACCTTTAACAGAGATAACAATGTGTCCAGTGCTCCTGCTGTGCCTCGCCTCACATTTCACGCTAAATGTTTAAATTCTAACTGAAGGAAAAAACAGTCGGAGGCAGAAACCTCATTATAAAGTTGAGTCAAAAGGTGAGGTTATTTCAGGTTGCAGGTGATGTAGTTTCATATCATATCAAGGGGCAGACTGACAAATAAAAACAATAAATATGTAATAATGTCAGAAAATGTCAACTTTTTCCAAATGCCAGGCCAATTTATGTTGCAGTCTCACATTTAGTGCACAAAGCCTCCACCCAGGTTAGATTTTTGAACCCAGTGATGTGCAGAAAAAAGTCAAATCCTGCTAAATGTATGTAGTTATAGAGTCAAAATTAGAGATCAATTGGCCGTTATATTAGGACAATATTTTTACCTTTTTAGAGTATTGGCCTTAGATGAGTACAGGCCGATTTAGTTTAGATTGACCTGCTACCTAAAGAGTACACATAAAACTTTATTTGAACACTTAAGTGCAAAGAGATAACTGCACAAAATGTGACTAAACTACTGTCTTAAAGGTTTGTGGTAAAAAGAGGGCTGTGGATGAGTGTTTAGTAAAATTGCCTGGCATATCCATAATAATATCTCTGTATTTTTTATACAGATTGTTTGGTCCCCTTTTCGTCCCAAGTCCAGTCAAATGTGATTGTGTCATCAGATTTGTTTTTTTCAGTGATGCGGAAGAAACAATGGAGCTCTTTGATCACCTATAATTTACAGATAAAATTTAATTTTTTCTCATCTCAGAGTTTAGCCCTTCACTCATTGATTCTGCAAAAATCCACAATGTTTTTCAGCCTCTGATATTTCCGCATGTGTCCCCAATTGGCGAATCTACCTGTCACGCCCATTTGAAGGGATTCACCAGTGACCAGACTAAAGTAAAGTATTGAAGAAGTGTGTATTCTGGATCTCAGGCAAGTAAAATTACATAATTCTAGGAAAATTGTCTAATTGGGATTTGCATATAGTCCTAAAAAGATCGAAGTTCATTGGTCATTCATTGGTTCAGCCGGTCAATCTCTGGTCAAAATCATGACCAAGTGTAGCCACTTTTGTTGTTCTCATGCTCCAAATATTTTGTATTTTTCAAAGACCTAAAATAAACCAAGGATATTGCTTGATTACCTACCAGACAGTACGTCTCTATCCTTGCGTCATTTGTGTGTTTTGCTGAGTGTCTCATTAAAATGCAGGTCAGGTCCATTTTGTTTGTTACTTTAAGGACTTTGACACGGGCTGACAGTCTGTGCTGGTGCTGCAGGTCCAGAGCAGACAGAATGTCAGAGAGGACCAGTCTGGCATCTTTATCAGCGCCGCTCACAGACTCTCACGAGCAACTGGAGACGCCCTCCTGTTTCCTGCTCCATTTGACTGTGCGCATAGAGCGTCTGTGATGGAGGGAGAAGGGCAGAGAAATGTAAACACAATATATAGTTTTGGTATCACTTTAAAATAATAACTATTAAATGTTTAGTATAAGAGTTGGGGTTAGGTGTGGGGGAAAGGTTGTTGATTAAGCAGTTAGTAGTACATTTACATTACAAAGGTGCACTATGTAACTTTTTTGTTGGGGGTCTGTCACCTGCTTGTTTCTGTGGATATGTCATTCCTGTGCCTAGAATGTTCCACAGTATGACATTAAACAGCTCCACCTTACATTTATTAAATTACAAGTGTTTTTTATAGCTCAAAAAGCAATAACATCTCCGCGAAAAAAAGCATTTGATCGACCCTCTACTATGCACCTTTAATTGTTCATGATTTATGAGGTGCATTGAGTTGTATTGAGTTGTATTGAGTTGTATTGTTTATGAAATGTGAGATACAAATAAAAATGCCTTGCCTATTGATACTTTGGAGTGGCATCATGTTGAGGGAGTTCTACATGTATCTGTACGGTGGAAAGTTCAGAAGTTACGAAACACTGCCCAAAAAAGGATTAAAATTGTCTGAAAACTAAAGAAAAAATACCCCCCCTCCCCAAACTGGGATCATTATGAGTTTGATATGAAAATTGTTGGCTAATAAGCTTGCAATGTTATTTGAAAGGGACTTGATTAAAGGAACAGTCTGGAATTTTAGACATAGGACCTCATTTCCTAGTGAGCCAGAGTGTTGGAGACGTGTGGAGACACTTTTTAAAATATTCCATTCAGTTCTTGTATTTGCAGAGGTCACTGGTGCTAGGCTAGTGCATGTCAATGGCCATAGTTAGCCTGCCACGAAAAACAGTCTTACCCACTCCACAAAACACTCGAAGAAAATCTATTATTACACCAGACTGTCCATGTGAATGTCTGTGTTGATAGAATAATGTTTGAAATAAAACTAACCTTGTATCGCATGAATCATCACATGTTGAGGGACTATTTTCTCATATATCAATCCGCCGCTGCCAAGCTTTCTATCAGGAAGTACAACTTGCTGCTGCTGCTCACACATAAATCCTTCAAATGCAAGTTTGGTTTTACTTCAAACATTATTCTATCAACACAGACATTTACATCAACAGTCTGGTGTAATAATAGTTTTGTGGAGTGGGTAAGACTGTTTTTAGTGGCAGGATAACTACGACCATTGACATGCACTAGCCTAGCACCAGCGACCTCTGCAAATACAAGGGCTGGATGGAATATTTTAAAAAGTGTCTCCACACATCTCCAACACTCTGACTCACTAGGAAATGAGGCCCTGATTCTTTATGGTCATATTATGTTAAAAATAAAGATCACATTCAAGTGTAAACCAGAGCAGTGTCTACAGTTAGCATCACATCCCCAGAGAATGTGGATGACATCGGGTGCAAAGTAACACTTGAAAGTGCATTTTTGTAGATATGTTACCATCTGTAAATACTTTTAATTATTTTATTTATTAAGAATTAGAGCTGACT